AATTAATTATTTTTAAGAGCTGAAATTGATACATATTAATCTTTAGTTTTAATCCTTATTTTTAATTCATAGGATGACTTAATGAGATTATTGATAAAGTTAAAATGAATTTTTATCTTGTTATGTAAATTGATCTTGAAAGAGCTCAATAAATATATCTTTTAACATGAATCTATTTCTTTTTAAGTAATGATAAGAATGACAAAATTTTGAAATCAATAATTTAGTTTATGTCACATTTTTAAATTAGTTAATGTATATAATACCATAAATTTTTAAAAAATAAAAAATTAATTATTAAATAATATAAAATTTATTTTTTAATATTTTAATAAAATAACATCATGTCATTAGTCTCAAATTAAATTTGGTCTCAAATTTTTATCTATTATTATTTTTTATTTGATAATATATAAATTTATAATTCAAATAAAATGGTCCAATAACTAAAAATTTAAAATTTTATTTTAAAAATTTTAAATTCAACTCTTAAAAAGCAGTAAGAAATGGAAAAGGATATTTACAGATTTATGACGCGGACCGAAAATGCAGCATAGACCTAATACATAGGGCCTAGACAGCCCAAACTTTTTCTTTCAACCAAAAAAACTGCCCTGACTGAAGGGGCTTCTAAACCCAATACGAAAAGGCTGAAATTCATTTTTGCTTAATTTTCACGGCTAAAATCGGAGAGTTTAGGCTTCTTCGGTTTTTCCTCGACTACCTTCGTCGTCTCTATGTAAGGATTTCACTTTCTTCAAATTTTCGTGCTCGGGAACCATGTCGGATGAAGCAAAAGCTTTTTTCTGTTTACGGGACGAACTCTTCTACACGTTCCTTCTCAAGCTGCCTATCAAATCCCTCATCATATGCACTTCCGTCTGCAAAACCTGGAATTCCATTATCAATAGCCCCTCCTTCGTTTCGTCCCACCTCGGCTACACCATCTCCTCCTACAAGAAGAACGATACCACCTCTGCTTTCTCCAGATTTGCTCTATAGACCCAACAGAAGACCGCTTCTCCTTGCGGTTTGACGACCAGAACCTGACCGAGTGCAACTCGCTTCATTTGTAGAGAAAAAAACAGAGTTGAACAAAAACTTTAAGCTGAATGTTCTTTGAGGAATTAAATCAAACACCTACTGTGCATAAACAATTTTAGCAAATGAAAGAAATTGAAAGACAGTAAACTCAAGCCAATTTGGAAGAGGAAAAAAAATACTTTTGAATTTTCACATTCAACAGATAAAAGACACATACAAATAATCAAAACTGTGCAACTGAAATTAACGATAAAATAGCACTACTAAGCCACTAAAGCCACTAAACTACAAATAAGATATGCATTGCTAAAAATAAGAAACTCAACTGCATATACCCAACAAATTCCTAAAGAATAGGACAATAAAAACAGATAATGAAAGACTTATTCAACAAACTCTCCCTTAAACTAAACTTTGTATCAAAGTTCAGTTTAATAAATTCTCTAACACACAAACACCAAGCAACTTCCTTTGTTTCTGAAATGCTGACAACTTGAGAGGTTTGGTAAAAATATCAGAAAATATCAGCAAGCTGGTCTTTCACTTCTGCAATAGACAAGATCAATGACTCCTTCTTTCACAAGGTCCTTCAAGAAATAATTCCTCACATCTATATGCTTGCATCTTCCATGAAGAATTGGATTCTTGGACAACTTAATTGTTGAGTTACTGTCACAAAAAATAATAAGAGGTTCCTCTTGCTTGAAATGACATTCTTCAAGAATTCTCAACAACCATATTGCTTGGCAAGCACATGAAGTCGCTGCTACAAATTCAACTTCAGTTGTTGATAAAGTCACAATCGGTTGCTTTCTTGATGACCATGAAACAGCTGCTGTACCCATCATAAAAACATAACCATATGTGCTTTTTCTATCATCAACATCCCTTGCAAAATCGCTATTTGTAAAGCCAAACATGTCTGACTTTTCTCTTTTCTTATAAAATAGACCATACTCAACCGTACCTTTCAAGTACCTGAGAATTCTTTTTGCTGCCAAGAGATGCATTTCTTTTGGACTTTCCATGTATCTGCTGATAAGGCTCACAGCATGCATGATATCTGGCCTTGTAGCAGTTAAATACATCAAACTTCCCACTATTTGCTTGTACAAAGTGCTGTTGACTTTCTTCCCTTCAGGATTTTTAACAAGCTTCATTCCTGCATCAATTGGTGTGCTGACAGGATTGCAGTCCTTCATTCTAAACCTGTCCAAAATGTCTTGAACATACTTTTTCTGAGAAATAAAGATACCAGCAGCATATTGATCAACTTCTATGCCAAGATAATAATGCATCAAACCAAGATCAGACATGTCAAATTCAGCCATCATAGACTTCTTTAATTGATCAAACATAGCCTTGTCATTTCCAGTATAGATCAAGTCATCCACATACAAGCAAACAATGAGCATTTTCCCACCTTCTATTTTTGTAAAGAGTGTATGCTCATAAGGGCATTTTTGAAATCCCTCATTCAAAAAATATGCTTCAATACGACTATACCAAGCCCGTGGGGCTTGTTTTAGTCCATAAAGTGCTCTTTTCAACTTATACACTTTATGCTCATTTCCAACTTTAACATAACCAGGGGGTTGTTCAATAAATACCTGCTCATCCAAGTCTCCATGCAAGAAGGCTGATTTTACATCAAGTTGAAAAACAGGCCATGAGTTTTGTGCTGCTAAAGAGATCACCAATCTGATTGTATCATGCCTCGCAACTGGAGCAAAGACTTCTTGATAATCAACCCCAAACTCCTGCTTGTAGCCTTTAGCAACTAGGCGTGCCTTATACTTGTCAACTTCTCCATTCTCTTTCAACTTTGTCTTGTACACCCATTTCACACCAATGGTCTTCTTGCCTTTCGGAAGCTCAGTTAGTTCCCAAGAATTATTTCTTTCAATGGTTGCAATTTCTTCATCCATGGCCTTCCTTCATTTGGACTCAAGAACGGCATCTCTAAAAGCTACAGGATCACAATCTAAAAATAGAGCAAAATATGTTAGTTCTTCCTCATTAGATTGTTCAATTCCAGGGACCTCATAATCAAGCATCCATGTAGGTCTTTTCCTGACACGTTGAGGTCGCTGTCCATCATCTGATTCAGCTTCTGGAATGAGAGTTGGTGGAGTTGCTGGAGCTACTGGAATGATGCTTTGATTCTCTGATGTTTGTTGCTCATTCTCTATGGGTTGCTGCTGTTTTTCCTCTTCAATTTCACCATCAAAACCAATTGAAATCTTTTGTTCAGCTTTGCCTTCATCCCATTCCCAGAATTTTCCTTCATCAAAAATCACATCTCGACTAACGATGATTTTCTTGGTGTTTGGATTGTACCGCTTGTATGCTTTGGAATTATTGCTAACACCAAGAAAGATGGACTTTTCTCCTTTGTCATCTAACTTCTTCCTCTTCTCATCTAGAATGTGAGCATAAGCAATACAGCCAAAAATTTTAAAATGATCCACACCTGGTTTTCTTCCACTCCATGCTTCCTCAAGTGTCATATTTTGAATAGCAAAAGTTGGACTTCTGTTCAGAATATGAATGCTCCAGTTGACTGTTTCAGGCCAAAAATTCTTGGGAATGCTGCTTTTCTTCAAAAGGCTTTGCACCATATCTAAAATAGTGCGATTCTTCCTCTCACAAACACCATTCTGTTAAGGTGTGTAGGCTGCTGTCAATTGCCTTTTGATTCCATGTGTCTCACAAAAATTTGCAAATTCATGTGAGTTATATTCTCCTCCACAATCAGTACGCAACACCTGAATTTGGCTCCCTGCTTCCTTCTCAACAAATACTTTAAAGCTTTTGAAAGCCATTAAAGCTTCAGACTTTTGTTGTAAGAAGTACACCCATGTTTTTCTACTAAAATCATCAATAAAAGTAATAAAATAACATTTACCTCCATTAGAAACTGGATTAATTGGTCCACAAATATCAGGGTATACAATCTCCAATAGCCTTCTTGCTCTGGTTGATCTCCCCTTTGGAAATGGATCACGGTGTTGCTTGCTAACAACACATTCTTCACAAACAGTTGAGGGACTTTCAAAAACAGGCAGACCAGTCACCATGTTCTTTTGTTGAAGTTGCTTAAGCCCACCAAAGTTTAGATGACCATAGCGAGAATGCCACAGCCAAGCCACATCATTTGTCTTTACTGAGAAGCATGACTGACTAGCACAGTTGAGATGAAGAGGAAACATTCTATTAGCAGTCATTTTAACTTGAGCAATTAAGCCAAATTTGGAATCTTGAATCCGGCACACTCCATTCTTGATGATAATCTCATAACCCTTCTCTTGCAATTGACCAATACTTAGCAGATTGGTCTTCAATTCTGGAACATAAAAGACATTAGAAATTGTTTGAGCAGCATTACCCCTGATTTGAATGGTCACCTGTCCTCTTCCCCTAACTGAGACTTTAGAATTGTCTCCGAACTTCACATTATCTTTGAAAGATTCATCCAAGGGGAAGAAAGCTGCCTTGTCTCTGCACATATGATTGCTGCAACCAGTGTCTAAATACCATAGGTTCTTATTAGACCCTTCTCCATCATGACATACCATCAGAAAGGATATTTCCTCCTCAATTTGTGCAAAATTTGATTTTTCTCCTTCATTGTTAGGCAAATTAGCTCAACATTCAGATTGGTAATGCCCATACTTGTGGCACCGAAAGCACTCAACTTTGGACTTATCTGCTGACTTTGGTCTGTAGGAAATCTGAAATCTGCCACGCCCCCTTCCTCTTCCTTCAAAAAACTAAGTTTGCTGATTTCTTCCTCTACCTCTGCCTCTTCCTCTGTTTGATTTATTTGAAAATGAAGAAGAGGTGCCAATTGTGGCCTTCAAAGCTTGCTCATTCTGCTCTTGTTGATTCAACTTCCTTTCATGTACCAGCAAGGAACTTTCAAGTTCTTCAAGTGACATTTCATAAGATCATTTGCCTCCTCAATGGCACAGATAACAAAATTATATTTTGGTGTCATTGAACGTAGTATCTTCTCAACAACAGTAACATCTTGTGTCTTATCACCATGGGTCCTCAATTTGTTGAGAATTGCCATTGTCCTAGAGAAATAGTCAGTAACAGTCTCACCCTCTTTCATTCGAAGTATTTCAAACTTCGAACGAAGTGCTTGAAGCTGCTGCCTCTTTGTTTTTGTGGTTCCCTAGTACTTTTTCTTCATTGAATCCCAAATTTGCTTGGAGGTATCTTTGCAAAGAATAGTCTCTAAGATTGTCCGATCAATTGCTTGAAAGAGATAATTTTTGGCTTTGAGATCCTTCAATTTTAAAGCTTCCAACTCTGCCTTCTGAGCTTCTGACATCCTAGCAGTTGGTTCTGCTACTCCAGACTCAACCACATCCCAATACTCTTTGGACCTCAAGAAATTCTCCATCAACATGCTCCAATGATCATAGTGACCATCAAA